AAACAAACCAGAGCAGAGGGGCAGAGAGTGTTGAGGGAAAGAGCAACCGAAGAGGGTTCATTATGGCCACCTCTTATCTGTGCCACGTTAGCATCCAGCACGATGGGCTGCAGGGGGAGGACAGGCTGCCTCAAGGACGAAAATAAAAGCACAGTAACTTCCACTGGAAATTAAAAACAAAGCACCATTCTCACCAGTGGCCCAAGACAGCAGCTCTTCCTTGACCCCCGAGCAATCTGACTGCAAGGGGTCTGGATAACTCCCTCCTGCTCCCTGTGTTTTACAGATGAAGCAGGACAGTTGGACTTGATGGTCTTAGAGGTGCTTTCCAACCTATTCTATGATTCCATGATTCCATGAAAATTACCACTCTCAAGCATTCGATGACCCTCCAAATGACCCCCAAGACCTGTTCCAAGTGATGCCCAACACAGAAGCTTTGTGGGCTTCCCACCAGGGTAGTAGTAAGAATTTTTAATTGTTTTATAGTGCTGGTACCACTTTTTTCCTTGTCTGCTTCTCTTGCTGAGGGCTGAGTGAACGTTCAGCAAAGCACTTCTTTTTACTGCACAAATGCAGCAACTCCAACTGTTTAAGCCTCTCACTCAAGATTGAAGCACCACAGGGAAGCCTAGGGAAAGCAGTTCCCAAGTTTAAAGGTATATTTGAAATTTTGTCTCAAACCTCCACCTTCTCCTTTGCTCTACTTCAGTACTGTGAGAAAGAAAGCCTCTTTTTCCCCCCCCTAAGCTTTCCCTACATCCCTCTCAGTCAGAATTACAGGGCATTTGCCACGCTAGAGGTACAGGAATTCTTTTTACAATCCCCTTTCACACAAGATAAGCCACAAGAATGCACAGTGCATGTTACTTTGAGATAGTGCTTGGAGATGAGACTGAAGTTTGTGTCACACTTTGCTATTAGCCAAGACCAAAACCAAGTCCCCAGGAGGCCCAAACTTCAAAACTCTGCACCCAGCAGTAAATTCTCAGTTTAAAACCGAGCTTCTGGCTCCACCTGCTGCCGGAAGGATGGAAGAGATCAAAAAGCAGTTACGGCCAAAAAAAAAAAAAAACACACACACCCAAAAAACTCCTAAAAAATAACTAAGAAACAACTAAGGCCTGCTTTTCTACTTAACTTGTCCACCAACATTGTTGTTAAAAGACAAAACAAAAGAGATTGCTTCACCATGGAAAATTCTACCAGGTTCAAGATGTGCAGCTCTTGACCTGGTCATGACCACCAGGCACTTGGGTCCTATTAAGTAATCTATTTTGGTAACTTTATAACTTTAGAAAATGCTGTTTGATGACACAAATTCATGGCTGAAAAGAAGCCCAGGTAAAGGACAATGTCATAAGCATGGTTCCCAAGATTGCCAGCAGGAAGGGGGGAAAAAAGGAAACCCTGTATTTTATGTTTTCCCATCTCCCCCTGTTCACTGTGCGGTTCTTGCCTCTCAGTGTTTCACTTGGTGCCTTTAAATCTTGGTTTACATTTGCCCACAAAGAGTTTAATTTTTTCTTTCTATGCCAGGAAATATATTTTGTGATTTCATGCCAAAACCCATGCACATTTCCCGTGCCAAAGTGCACAGGTGCCAGCACAATTGGGCATTATTTCCGCACACAAAGCTCCCAGTGAAGCCAAGGGCTGCCCTGGGTGCCCCAGGAATGCTGGTTTGGCTCTGGGGTGCTTGGATTACCTCCATGTGTTTGCACAGCACTGAAGGCAGAGTCACTGCTCATTTAGAAAAACATTGCATACACCTGATGGAAAGAAATATTAGAAGCTACTTCACAAAAATACATGCAGGCCATATGACAGAGGCAGATTAGGCCTTTACAGCCAAATGCTTAAAGGAACATTTTGGAGATACATATTCCTACCTTTAGAAAGTTACATTCCTATATAGCTCTTGCTAGAGAAACCTAAACCCTCTGGACAAGCAATGCAGAGCTCCTTCCAATGCCATTTTGAAAAGAAACTTCAATTACAGCAGCAAAAAGCATCACCAAAGCAATGCCATTTCCACACTCTCAACTCCAGCTAATAAAAACTTAAAAAAAAAATACACTAGGAAGGTACAGAAAGGGCATTCTCTGAGCTTGCATTTATCACTTCTTCACCTCTTAGAAAGGTGTCATGCAGAAACCAAGCTCATAATATTTTATGAAATGTCTTATATGTTTTCTTCGTACACTCTTGTGCGTATACTACACTAATTTGTAAATTATATTCAGTTTGGCCTCCTTCGAGTCAAACTTTGCTCAGTACCAGCCTTTGGCTGAGCTACCTGCACTTGAGCAATCAGTGGAACAAGTACAAACCCCAAAGCACTGGGTTTCTGGCGCTCAGCAGGTGAGGGCACTTTAGTTATCTATAACTTTTTGGTAATAAAAAGCCCTGAAGAAAATTTCTGAGGCTAATTAGGATCCCAGATAATAAAAGCACAGACGGATTTACAAGCACATTAGTTATAGAAGCAGCTGTATTTGAGTTTGAGAGGTTGGAGCAGTGTCACCGACAACAGGCCAAATTCCACTTTAGGATTGCCAAAAAACACTTTCCATGATGAAGCAAATCCTTCTTTTGCCCCCCCCTCCCCCCCTTCTCAAAACAGACTCAACATTCCAAAGGCAGATGATTTTCCTGATTGCCTGTCATTTTGTCACTTTGCACAGGGGAAGAGGAGGATCTCTGACATTCCCTTTGGCCATCCCAGCTCTTCCTGTCATCTCACAGACAACTGCCAACTTGGTTTTTATTGTTGTTAAGCAGAGGTTAACTAGTGACAGGCTGAGTGTCTGGAAAGAGAAATCCTGGGTACCTGTCCTCACTTCTGAAATAATACATATAATTGTGTACTTGTTCTGGCATTGAACTGTAATTAAACCAAAAATCAAAACCCTCTGTCTGCTCCAGCTCTGGCTGCAGTCACACACCCTGGTCCCTGCTTAGTTGAGAGGGTCAGAGAACTTTCAGGTTAAAACAGAAAACTCAAATTACCCCATCATTAAATAAGGGCAATTTAGGATGACAGTTTCTGACTTGTCTTCAGAAAGTCTACACACACCCTGATTTCCATAAGCTTGCAAAAAAATTGGACTCATGAAGCAACTATAAGATGAACAAAAAGCCCAGAGATCCAGCAGTGGTCTGCTGGAGAAAAATTTCTCCAGTTCTGAAAAGTCTTGGCCTAGTAAATCTGCAACCAGAAAACAGGCTGGACAAGATTAAGGCTCAAACTGATCACCAGCAGCCAGAGAAATACTCTCAGAGGATGCAAGTCAGTCGAGCAAGTTGCAGAATTTTACATGCATGTAATTCTTGTCTATTACACAAATAAAAAATGGGAGGAAACAGCTTCAAAGCTGTTCTTCAAAGCAGTTTGCACAAAAAAAATAAAACCCACAATACTGGGGCATAAACCACAGTAGTGCATCCAAGCCATGTGAACCAGTCTGGCTCTACCCAGCATTTTTGAGGGCACAGCAGAGCAGGGAATTGCAGGAATAGCACAGCAAGGGCTCTAGAAAACACTGTCTCTCAGGAAATACTCAGAATTTTAACCAGGGAAGGAGCAAGGACTGAAACAAGAACAGTAACAGACTTTGGGTATGTAAGAGGCTGTTGCATGGAAGGACAATAAAATAACCTGTTCTCTGTGGCCTTAGGGACACTGTAATGGGCAGCAAAACAGACAGATGTGTTGGAGACTTGTTGCCAGTAAGGGCAGGGAAGCACTAAAACACACAGTGAAGTCTTTTCTGCCCTCCAGCCCTTTCAGGCAATTAGGCAAACACTGACAGAGCTGTAACTGGGGCAGGGGAACAGACCTGATCATCTCCTTCATCCTTGCCAGCCCTATTACTCTAAAAAAGTAAACTTTCAGGCTGCCAAGGAGTTTGGGTGTTTACCTTTTGCTGGAGTCCTTTCAGAGACCAAATGCTGTTTACACCGTGGTTTCCTGCAGTTATTTCCCTCCTTCCCAATCAGGTTCCATAAGCACAGCTCTCAGAAATGTCAAACTTCCTCAGCAACACCCTGCTGCATTTCTTTTTTATTCCTAAGAATAACAGTCCCAGTGATACATTACCCCTTGCAACAATGAGGCTTTTCCAAATGGAAATCAGTCTTCCTTCACCCACAGATGACTAATCATTCTGTCTCACCCAAACCAAGGGGAGGGTAAATGGTTCTGAGAGCCAACCAGCAGATTGGTTCACTTCCGTGAACTAAGCTGCCTTTAAAACACCAAGGGATTATTTACCACTTCCCATTATGAACATGTGACTGTATTTAACCCCTATGCTCAGCAAAGGGAACATTTTGCACTAACAGTGATTAATCAGGGTTTAGTCTCAGCTAAAACCAGCTCAGTTAAGTATTAAAAACTCTAAGTTTCTATAAGCTTTGCTCTTTTTGAATAGACTGAGTATCTTAGTTGCACGTTAACATTTTTTTTAATGCAAAGCATGTTTTAATATAAACATCCCAATTATAGAAAGTTTTGTAACAGTAAAAACAGATATATATGCTCAGATTTATTTTACAAGACTTCAAAGCCAAACACTGAGGCCAGGCTTGAAAACAGCATCTCTTGTCATACAATCAAAATATTGTACACACACAACACAGCTCGATGCTTCTCAAGTTCACCAGCATAACACCCAGTTTGTCAAACCTCCAGCATTAGAATTTTTTTTCAAGCTACAAATGAGAAACACAAATTTCATCCATAATGACAAGTGCTTCCTTCCTACAGACATCTTGCCGGGGGGCAAAAATGCCAAATGTTTTTGGAGAGTGACATGAGAGTGCAAGACAACCCTTAGTAAAATATAGATATAAATCACAATTTAAACTGTGGCCAGGACTTTCAGCAATTAAGCACATTTCTACAGATACCTCCCCTCAAACATTCTGACTCGACTGTTCAGTAGCAGATGAACAGCGCCTCACTACTTTATTTCCAAGTATTCCAAGACTGGAAACTCTTTAAAATCATCCTGTATTTTCTTTATCAAGCCACTATAATTTAAAGATACAGCTACAAGTCCTCCTAGATAAAAGGAACGAGAGATGATTGCTTCAAGAGCAGGCCTTCATCGCACATATTTCAGCACACCACCTCGGAGCAGTCAGCAGACAGACTGTAAAAGCCACGTTTTTCAGAAAGACAGGATGGTCTTGTGAATTATTTCGATGCACTCTCTGATTTCATCCTCCTTAATCACCAGTGGTGGTGCCAGACGGATGATGTCCCCATGAGTGGGCTTGGCCAGGAGTCCGTTATCGCGGAGCCGCAAACACACCTTCCAGGCATCGTAGTCTGCAAGGACAGGAGAGAGAACAGGACACTGAGGGCATTTACACCACAGCAGAAGAAGTGTCACAACTGCAGCACGTGGTGTGTGGGGCCAGACTCTGTGTTTGCCATCCGGCAGCGAGATGGAGTGTGTTCACAGATGGAGTCACTCCGAGCAGCCCCCCGGAATCTGCACTGAGCAGAACTGCTGCAAAGTTCTGGGATTTGTCTCACAGGTTTGCCTCCAGCACACAGAGAGGTCTGGCCCCTTCACAGCTCAGTGCTTGTCTAGATGGGGCAATACATTTAAAAAAGGGGAGCCATGAAAAGGGGAGGTAAAGGAACACGTGGACAGGACTTTACACAAAGTTAGACTTGTGCAACCTGGATTTCAGTGCGTCATGTGCACATCTTAGAAAATTATACCACCTTCCTACAACACTTTATCCCTTGATAAAGAGCCTTGATATCCAGTTTTCTGATATAATTTGAGGTGTTAATCCCTAGAAACATACTCTCAGTCATTAACTTTTTTCTTCCTTGTACCCTCCTGTATTCATTGTACTCTTCTAACCATCCTGAAAACAACCAACCTCGGCCAATCCTTCCATAATCTGGCAAAAAATAGTGTTCCAAATGTGGCCAGTTTTCTTCCAATAAGGAGACAAAAGGGTATTTGTTGAGAGGCAGATTCACCATCAGGTTTGAACATTATCAAATCATAAATGAATTCAAACAATTTTTAAAAAATTTTTCAGCCTTAATTAAAACCACTTATTTTCAACAGCACACACTTGAATAAATTTTCGGTAGGTACTACAGTACTATAGCCAAGATCTGAACACAAACATGATGCCTATATACCATCTCCCACCTACAAGTTAAGCTGAAAAGTACTTTTTCATGCTGTGATGGTGCAGTTGACTGTATTTCCTCACCTTTGGTTTCCCGGATTACAATTGCATTTAACAGCCCCCTTCCTCTCACAGCAGTTACAATGTTGGACGGCGTCTTCATGAGCTCATTTCTTAGGAGGTTACCCATTATTTCTGCATTTTTTGCCAAGTTTTCATCTTCAATTACCTAAAGGGAAGTCAGATCTAGTCAGCTGAAGGGCACCACATTTGTTTTATGTACCATGTTGGAAGGGTAAATGACATTACAGCTACTGAGATACAAAAGCTGTTGCAGCCAGAGTATCACTGCAAAGGTTGCATATCCCAGTAGATTGGTATCAAGCCTTTACTCATTCATTTTTACAAGAAACAATAATATTTTTGAAATTTTGTTCAAAACTGCCATTTGCAGTTATTTGCAAGTCAACAGTAAAGCTCTGAAGATTCTTAATCTCTCCAGATCCGATGAGAGTTGCTGAGTGACCTGCATCCCATGTAGTCAATTAGGCAGTCACAGAATAATTAAGCCACACACTCTGGACAAGACATTTTAGCTTCTATTTGAGCTCCAGTAGCACACACATTTTATCAGGCTCACAGAGCAGCCTCTGCTAGTATATCCAATATAATCCAATTTCAAAGTGTCTTCATGAAATTAGTGAAGCTATTTGACCAAATTTACATAAGTGCCTTGAAACTCCCTCTGCATAAATTTTATTTTGACATTTAAGACATTAAGACCATAAGAACACAGGAATTAGGACACACTTACAATAAAAACTTTAGAATTTGTTTTGTGATCTGTGCAGATAACCACTGCCAATTTTCCATTCGTACTTAAAGCTGGATTGATACTCCCAGCATAAGAAATAATATCATTTATTTAAGCAAAGATCATGTCAGTGTGATACACTTTTTTCTTTGGATTCCAAAGCTTTATCAGGACACACAAACCTCCAGTGCTGCCATTGCCACACGGCAAGCCAATGGATTTCCTCCATATGTAGATCCATGTTCACCAGGCTTAATGGTCAGCATGATTTCATCATCACACAGTACAGCTGAGACCTAAAATGGGGAGGGCAGCAAATTCACCAACAGACATATTTAAAACAGTAAACTTTAATATCTCTGAAACAAACTTTTCCTCAGGGCTCAGGAAATTTTTAGCCCATGGTAATAAATTACATTTATATTCCCAGTTCTGTATACAGGAGAGAAGATCTGGCAATCCCCTAATTAATCCCTTAAATACACTTAGATATAGTGGTAACATGTAACTCTCAACTACAGCAGAGAGGCATTTCTCCAAACTGAATATTATTTCAAGACCTTAAGCTTCAACACTTGGTTTAACAACTCAGAAATACCTTTAATCAGCCAAAATAGTTCAAGGCATGTTGTAATTTCCAGCCTAATCAGCAGGAATTTAAGTTACTCCAAGAGGATAAAATCAGTCATGCAGACATGCCAAACACATGAAATCATGCCAGTTGTTCCAAAACAGCTCCATAATGTGTGTTTTAACATATATTAGTATTTTATCCTCTACAGAATTCATCTAGAAACTTATCACAGTCTTGCTGTGATTATCTCCAGAGAGAGTAAAAAAGGCTAACCAGAAATTTCATAATGAAAAGTTGACTACTGGACACTTATTTTCCTGACAGAAAAACAGCCATTCCAGCTAAAAAAGTAGTATTAGATATTCCACTGTTTTATTATGTATCTCTCACAGGTTGGGCTGTCTGGTCATAAATCATAGCTAATCTTGTAAACAACAAATTCCAAGCACAACAAACATCAGAGTTATTGTTCTTCCAACTGGTAGATTTTCAATGTTAATTACTAAAAAAAAATCATTATTCAAGAAATGTTTGAATAATTTGATATTATTTCGGATTATTGGTATTTCTTTGTTACTCACAGGATATAAACCACCAGAAAGGGCCTTTCCAAGAAGAACTATATCAGGTCTCACATTTTCGTGGTCAACAGCCAGCATTTTCCCTGTTCTGGCTAAACCAGTCTGTATTTCATCAGCAATAAACAGAACCTTCAGAGAGACAAAAAGAGCAGAGATCAGACCATGAGTTTCACTCCCATCCGTAACTCAATTCAAACAATACAGCTCTCTTTTTTTGAGGTATCACAACAATAATAAAGACAACTTTACTAATAATATGTCAATACCTTCCTCTGAAGGTATAGAAGGAATTATGACTAGCACCTGCAAATTAAGACTGAATTCTGTTGGAATAGAGACCACTGGTTTTTAAATCAGAGACCGCTGATAACCATTTTCTTCAGTGTTTCACTCTGTGACCCACTACTGTTACAAATTCTTGGCACTTATGCACTCCACCAACAAGGGCTCCTAACAGCCATGGTAATTATTAATTACTGCAGTAATTTGCTTTGGTCCCAAGAAACTTAGAATGTGAGAAAGAAATTAAAAGCTAAATTAATTTAAAATAAATGCAGTTCAAGAACATTCATCAGTAACTTAAACCAGTGACAGGGGTAAGAAATAGTGAAAAATGTGCATTGCTAAGAAGTACTTTCTGGTAAGGTATTAGCAGGAAACACAAGAAGTATCCCTGCTCTATTGAAATAAAAGGAGATTATTAAATCACATATGAAGTCCTGCACCTAGTATATAAGGATGACCTTACAAGATACAGCAGTAAACACAGTAATGTTTAAGCCACGTTATTACAGGGAATTCCTTACATTGTGTTTTGTGCAGAGGTCCCTCACTCCTGTGAGATAACCCTTGTCAGGAACAACCACACCTGCTTCCCCTTGAATTGGTTCAACCATGAAAGCTGCCACGTTGGGATCTTGAAGGGCCCGCTGTAGAAATGGACAAACAGGTGGGAAAGACAAAAAGAAAAATCCTTTACTCAGGTCAAATTTAGAAAATACGTGTAGCAGAACCTAATCCTAGCCCCAGTGTTTTTCCTTAAGGCACGATAATGGCATTTATGTCAAGCAGTTATCCCTGAGTGCCATTTCAGTTCCAACACAATGTCACTATTTGCCTTGCAAAATGAGCTGCTGTGCTCACCTGGGAAGGTACAAACCTTAAAAATTGCAGACTCAGGTAAGCAGATTATCGGATCAGTCCATAAATTACCTCAGAAATACCTTCAGTTTTGCATGACCCCATACAAGACAAACAATTGCTCAACTCTCCCCTCAAACAAAAAAGAATGGAGCCTCTCCAGAACAATTTTACCTTAGAGCAAAGTCCACAGGTACATTCTTGCACTATCAAGTTCAAAAAGGTTTAGAAGTCCACGAGACACAAGAGATGTGATGATTCCCAGCATGAATTTCCTACAGCTTTTCTCAGTATGGTCCCATAAACAGAATGGATTCAGCTCTAATGAAGCCATTAAATACTTACAAGCCTTTCACAATGGGCACCCTGATGTAGGTTCAAACCTGAGCAAGCTTTTCCACACTGCAACTAAAACACTGAGAGACCTTTGTTTTCATCCTAACCAAACTCTAAGGAGACAATCAACTCTGTCCTACAATCCCTCCAATCTCCACAGCCCATCCCCTTGTATGAAGCAGACTCAATGAAACTTTTTTGCTCACAGAGATGATGTACCCAGGTAATGAATTGGAAAAAGACCATCTTTAAGATCCCTTCCAATCCAAAACATTCTGTGATTCTATGACAAAAGTGGCAATGCCAACATTCCAAGCCCTTCAGGACTACCTGTATCTGGCTGGAACCCTCTTGCCTCCCAGGTCCCAATTCCAGCACCCTGTGGCTGCCACCAAGCCCTTTAAAATATAAACCCACATTATGGAGGTGGAAAATTTTAGACAAATCAAGGTCAACCTTCTCCAACAGCTTAACAGGACAAAACTCAGGAAACCCAGGGAAATGTAGAATCTCTGGCATTTCAGTAGCTTAAGTGAAACACCAGCCCAGCACGGTTTTAAGGATGCTGTGAAATGGAAATACTTATTTGCAACTGTGTGAATTCTAGTCATACAAGCACAGAATGGTTTGGGTGGGAAGGGCCCTTAAAGCCCATCTAGTTCCAACTTCCCAGCCATGGGCAGGGACACCTTCCACTATTCCAGGTTGCTCCAAGCCCCATCCAACCTGGCCTTGGACACTTCCAGGGATGGGGCAGCCACAGCTTCTCTGGGCAACCTGTGCCAGGGCCTCACCACCCTCACAGCCAAGAATTCCTTCCAATATCCAATCTAAACCTATTCTCTTTCAGTTATCTAATCATTGAAGAAAGCACAGCATTTCTGAGAAAAGTAGCTAAAGGTATTAGTTTCAGAAATCAAGTCCTGACTTATGGAATGTAAGCTATGGATGGATCTGAATTCCATTATGGTTTATCTGTTGGTCTTCATTTGTACCTTGAACATCTTAGTGAGATGTGAGAGGAAACAGATCATGTGGTTTTTCTTTTACATCCTAAAGCAAAACTGAAAATCAAAACCAAAGCAGAATTTACACACATTACCTATGCACATCAATAACATATATATTTCTTAAATAAATCTAGATACAGGTATCTTAGTGTCAAAGGGATAAGCTTCTGATTTTCTTTGTTATTTACCAAAGAGACATTGTAAAATGACGAAATTGTCAAATACCTCAAGAGCTGGGAGGTCATTGTATGGGATCACTTCAAAACCTGGCATGAAGGGCCCAAATCCATCATAGCTGGATGGGTCAGTAGAACTGGAGATGGCAGACATTGTTCTGCCCCAGAAGTTGCCAGCTGAAAAAAACAGAGAGGGGGATTGTTACAAAACTGGCCAAGAGCCAGAACAGTTTAAAGGAGATCATACTTTCCATTTGTTACTGCATTTTAAGTTATCTAACATCAGCATATTATCATCCTTCTTCTAATTGTTAGCATTTTGCATTGATGTCATAAATATACCATGTTGTAATATCAAAAGAACATATCAAAAAGCAAAATAAAATTATACTCTAAGACCTGGCAAGTTTATTCAAAATAATTTCCTTAAATTTTGTTAGTAGTCCGAAAAATTGAAAATAAGTCAAATAGCATCTTTTTAAGGAAGATGTTCAGCTTTTATGTAAATATTACTTATTAAATATAGGGCAGGAAATGAACACTATCCCTAATTTAAGTCCTAAAAATAAAGCTGCCACTAAGCCTAAATCAGAAAATACACTCTGTGTATTTTAAAGGCCCAGAAAATCCCACTTACCTATGTAAAAATATTGTGATGTTGCACTATTTTATTTAGAAACATCAGTTAAAATGTTCGGGAACCAACTGTCACTAAGTCAGTAATATCTTCATTTTAATAGTTCAGTGAAATCAACAGACTCTCAGATAATTAATAAGGTATTTAATAAGACTAAAGAAGATTAAGGGTTCAATATCTTCACAGCATAATGAGCTTTCTCCTCCCCAAACAATTCCTTTGTGTAAGTGTGATCCTGGGGCAGAGGATGTTTCCACTCTGCAGGGAACCCCATAAACCCCACTACATGAGCACCACACCCTGTCCCCCAGCACAACCCCTGCTTGTCACCCCAAGGTTATGTGAGAGCAATTCCCTGTAACCTCAAAGCCCAGGAAGCAGAGCAGTGGATCTGATGAAGGCAGCCTGTCTCCACCTGGATGCTCCAGTGCCTCACTATCCAGCACAGAATCCAGGCTGAGTTCTCTAAACTGATGTTCAAAGGCTTCCCCTTAGCTACCCAAGAGAGCTCTTTTTCCTGCCAAAATGGAGGGAAGATCCACTTTATCAAGATGAGAACCACTTACTATAAGTAAATTGTCTGAAGAGCAAAATAAAATATATGCAGAAGAAAAGGAAGGAGAAGTATATTTGTTCAAAGAACTCCCAGAAGAAATTTGAAAAAAATCTCTATTCAATCCCAGAAAATATAATGCAATATTCAACTATGAAGTGTAATTTACAAATGCTGCCTAATGGCACTTATGGTTCAGGTACTATATGTACCAAAAGTTAAAACTAGTATTTGCAGCTGTAGCAATCTCAGGGAAAAAGGTCAATATTTGAGTAGTAAGCTTTATTCTGAAAGGTTTAATAAAATACAGAATCATTGAACAACATTAGCACTGACGAGAATACTTTATCTATAACCAAAGAACACTAAATATCAGATTTTTTTATTATATATGGGGTTTTTTCCATTTTTTTTATTTAGCTAAGCACAACAGTCTCTTCGGGGGCAGGTAACTTCTCCCTGTTATGGAGCCAAGCAGAGCAGGCAGGTAAAGGGAGGAACTATTTCAACAGGGAATCAGGGCCCAATATTTACTTCAGCAATACTGCTTTTACTTTCATTATATGATCAAGAATTCAATATGGCTTTACTGAGTTAATGTCAATCTCTGGAAGACTTCAAGGATGCAAAGAAAACCACTGGTAGGGTGAAGCCTAAGAGGGAAGCAGGTTTAACTCTACTGTGCAACCTATGAGAGGCATGGCAGCAATTTGAGGAGTGATTTCACAAAAAAAGTTATATAAAAGACAAGCAGTTAAGAATAAAAAGATACCAAGCTTCAAGTGGTTAAAAGAGCATGGAGGACTGAGTGTACTTTCCACGTGACTTCAGGCTGCCCCTCAACAATCCAGTGGCCAGAGCTCTCTTCCTCCTCAATGCCTCAACTCATAACACAAGAGTTTTAAGGAAGTTAATCAGCTTTGAACACTTTACATACCTGCAAAAATAATTTTAGCTTTGTATTTTGGGACTCCTTTCACAGTGTATGCCCATTTCCGAGCCAGTTTACAGGCAGTTTCTCCAGCTTCCACTCCTGAAACACAAAGCAGCACCATGATCACTCCTGCACATGAGAGAGGCCATCAGTGCAGTACCAAATGTTACACAGCTGCTGAATCTCACAGACAAGAAATAAAAGGGAAATAAAATCATTTCTTCACCTGTGTTCATTGGAAGAACTTTGTTGTAATTGAACATTTTGGTGACGAGCTCCTCATATTCACCAAGTACATCGTTGTAGAATGCCCTGGATGTCAGGGTTAGTTTTTCAGACTGAGCTTTCAGAGCATCCACGATTTTTGGGTGACAGTGACCTTGATTAACTGCACTGTAAGCACTCAGAAAGTCGAAATACTTTCTACCTTCAACATCCCACACATAAACACCTGGGAAAACAAACATATGGTCAATACACAAAATAAAAGACGACATGAGATAATACTAAATGGTATAAACTAAGGGTTACAACACAACCTGGCCAATTTAAATGGTATTCTCTCTATTCTCTCTATCCCTGAGGGCATTCCTGAAAGGGCCTCTAGAAAATAATCAGTTGACAAAGAGATCATGAGCAACAAAACTAGTACAGTATAAATAAGGAAACAAAAAAAAAAGAAGCATTTCCAATATGAAGCTGCCATTCCATGGAGTTAGTAATATCAGACTATTACTTCCCCTCCAAATCTCTGTTTTAGGCACTAAAAGGTAGATAGAGAAGAAAACTTCTGTAAGAGAATTAACTGGAGGTCATAAAATAAAGAACAAAATCAACAGAACCCAAATAATCTCAAAACTCAAGAAGCTGAAGGCTCTGAGCTGTCAAAATGTGCCCTGAAAAAGAGAAACTATTGGATCACTATGCTGATAGTATTTTAACATAAACTCACAGGACAAAAAGGCCCCTTAAACATAATTAAAGACCAGAGTAAATTTAAATTAAGCAATAATACAGGAACAGTACACAAGGACTTAAATAGGGTTCCAATGCACCTTTTCATGTTCACACTAACATTAAGCCTCCCCAGACAAGGCAAAAGAAGAAACAAAGTTGCTTGGCAATTTTCCTGCTGAGTTATTCTGGAGATTATCAGAACTTTGACCTTTATTTAGATAAAATATTTTAGAGACATCACCATTTTAACAAATGGCTTTATGCATAATGATCCAGCTCTCTAACCAACAATTAGCTGTCTTTATTTCACCAATTATCTCAATTCCACCCTAAAAAAATACCCAACAAAGGTTCAGAAACTGATCCCATCCCACCTGCACAGACACATCTCCTCCACAACACTGAGGGAAACCTAAATAAAATACCTTTCCCTCTTTCCAGAGCAACAGGCAGTGGGTGATAGTTGTGGGCACCATATTTAGCCTCCCGTTCATAGATGGACTCAGAGGAGACGGGCCTTTGAACAGTTTTTTTGGGAGCAACTGAGGCAGCAGAACTCAGTGATGCGTGGAGACCTCGAGAGAGAACAGCAACACTCTGGGGACGGCTCAGCTTGGAAAACATGATGGACCTCAGGTATTCTGATACAGATCTGAGGGGGGAAAATAAAGACAGTTAATAATTAGCACTAACGACACTTTGGATGAAACCCACGATGTGACCGAAGGGGTTTTACTGCCAGGATTACTGGGTTTCCCAACTCTTTTGCAACTCAAGTAAGAAATCTTATGTGAACTATAAATTAACGTGGGATTAAGTTCAAGCTAGTATTTTCTTTCTATTTTAATGTACACTCACAGAAACAGAAAGAAAACTAAGCTGTGTGACTCACCGAGTCTATGAACTAGTTACACCATTTTTCCTGTAAGAGCTCTTTTTTCACTGTGCCTTAATTTTGGTTTACTAATATAAACTACAATAAAAAAGTTAAGTTCATCAAACTTCTTTTTTTACTGAAATGCCTTTTTTCTGCCAAAGACTACTGTAAGTCCAACCTTGTCACAAAATCAGAAAGTAAATAATATAATACTGGGAAGAAGCACTGGACACAAATCACCTTTAGCTGATAATATTAACAAATTTGATAAAAGATTGATTAGTTTTAACTGGGATCAGTTTTAACAAGTAAAATTTGTAACTTTTTACATAAATTGCACTCTGGATTTTAAAATGTTGCATTCTGGATTTTAAAATGCTGCCTACTATATAAAGCACTCACTGTCAATACTTTTTTAAGACCATCATTCTGTTGAGCCTGGAGAAGAGAAGGCTTTGGGGTCTTAGAACCCTTTCCAGTGCCTACAGGGGCTCCAAGAGAGCTGGAAAGGGACTTTGGACAAAGGCCTGGAGTGACAGGACAAGGGGGAATGGACTTAAGCTAGAGGAGGGTCCGTTCAGATGAGATACTGGGAAGAAATTCTTTATTATGAGGGTGGGGAGGCCCTGGCAGAGGTTGCCCAGAGAAGCTGTGGCTGCCCCATCCCTGGAGTGTCCAAGGCCAGGCTGGATGGGGCTTGGAGCCACCTGGGATGGTGGAAGGTGTCTCTGCCCATGGCAAGGGGGTTGGAACAAGATGAGCTTTGAGGTCCCTTCCAACCCAAACCATTCTGGGATTCTGTGATCAAAAAACAGATGGGAAGTAATCATATGTCAGATATTAATGATTATTAGAGCACTCTCTATTTTCTTAGTAAACTCAGCAATTTTCCCTGAACATACAACCTTGTACTGTTACCATCTATGATAATCTGAGGGTTTCATGAGACAAATGCACTTGGATTTCTTCTCTGTGCCTGCACCTCAGACAACACAAAGATACGTCCCAGAGAAGGGGAAGTGAGTTGGCACTTTTAAAGCTGTCCAAACAAGCTCTCCTCACAGCAGGGAACAGCAGAGAGCCACCAAGAGCTCTCAAAGCTCAAGTTTCTAGTCTTGCAGAACATCACATTTATAAGCTGCCAAAGGGTTTAAGCCCCAAAGGAGGATCACAGATTACAATAAGTACTCTGAATATGAAATGCAGCCTCCTCTGTATCACACTCCACAGCAAACTGGAGAGCTGAGCAGCCCTGACACTGCTGCAGCACCCAACCAAAGCATATCATAAAACCTAACCAAAATATGGGTGTTAAATGCCAACAAGAGAATGCAAGGATGGTTTACACAAGGCTGCTGTTATTTCAGGCTCCTTGCAGAGACAGAAGTGTTAAGTCATGGATTTATCCCTAATTTATTTTGGAAAAGATCAGCACCGTGGATGTGTCCCCTTGAACAGGGAGGCATTTCTTTCAGCAAACTCCTCAGGTATTACTTTGCTGCTCCTCACTTCTTACCAAAGCCAAAAGACTATTTGCTCCACCTACTAAAATTTTGCTACCAAAATCCAGGAGTTTAGGAAGAGTCAACAGTCTCCATTCCAGCAGGAGATGAATAGCAGCTGCACAGCTCTGGGCATGTTTCCAGCTGTTAAATATTAGACATTTGTGTTAATACTTCTCAAGATGGTTATTCAGAGATTCTGCAAACAAAAAAGACAAATAATTCTCTGTGCAAGAAAAAATTCTGAGGTCCCTTCCACAAAATTGCAACCTGCTTAAGTACTAAAATGTAATTGGTCTGTGACAGCCTGGCACACCTCCATGGCAGAGCAGCTAATCCTGTCACAAGCTTCTATATTTCTGCAGATGTCCCAGACATTCCTGAAATAATGGATGCAAAGAAACTAAACTCTCATCTGCCCTGTATCAGAGAGGTACCTTTCTGCACGAAGAATTACAGATCCCCAGTTTGAGGTTCTTGTTTTACTTCTTTCAAAGAGGTTGGAAAATAGTAATCAGAATTTTTTAAAAGGGCTTTCCCCTCCATGAAGAGAAATGCCCTGCAAACTGTGCTAGTGAGACCACACCATTTTATCCAAGGTTTAGGAGATTACATGGAGTAGGGCTGAGTGAAGCTGGGAAATTACAGACAAATCTGAAGTTAAAAGGTGGAGAAAAATCTGGCTTTGATGATACACAAGAGAAGATTAACAGAAATTTCAGGAAAGAGGAGGGGTAAAATAAGGAAAAAACAATAAACAAACCAAATGAAGAAACCCAATCCTGTTACCAACAATGAGGAAGTGAGAAACATGATCGTGCTCTGAAGCAGGCAGCACAGGAATTAGAAGCCAGGGAATTACACCAAGTGGAAAAGGTCTTGCATCAGAAAATAAAAATCACCCAAACCACAGTTGTGAAAACTTGAACAACTCTGCTCAGCTGTTGAGCAAGAATATCCAGACAGGGGCCAGTGCCTGTGATTTCACAGGTAAATTGAATGGTTGTAGGTCCCCAACCCCTGACAGACACTGAAGCACACCCCAAGGTAAATGGCAGGTACTGTCAGATACATAAAACCAGTCAGAGTCATGTTGATACAGGAGAGAGGAATCAGTGCCACACTGCTGCCTTTACCAGCTGAATGAAAGGGGGTGAACGTTCCAGGGGACAAGCAGGAGGGACAGCAGCGTGGACATGCCAAGCCACCTTTGCAGGCATCAGGAACAGCTCAGGACCTAAACTGGCAGAGAAGAATCCCGAATCACAGAATCAGTTTGGTTGGAAATGACCTCCAAAATCATCAAGTCCAACCTATGACCCAACACCACCTTGTCAACCAGATCAGAACGCTGATTGCCACGTCCAGTCTCTCCTTAAACACCTCCAGGGATGATGACTCCACCACCTCCCTGGGCAGCCCTTCCCAATATCTAATTAACCTTTCTGTGAAGAAATTCCTCCTGATGTTCAACTTAAACCTCCCCTGGCGCAGCTTGAGGCCGCTTCCTCTCATCCTGCCCCTTGTTCCCTGGGAGCAGAGCCCGACCACCCTCCTGTTAGGGTGTTACAGAGAGCGAGAGGGTCCCCCCGAGCCTCCTTTTCTCCAGCAAAAGAAAAAAAAAATAAAAAGCAATAAACCCAGCAGTGAAACAGGAGATCCCGCTCGCCATCCCCCCGCCAAAGCCAACGCCAAAGACACTGCAGAGGCAAAGCTGCGGCACCGCGGGCCTGACACAGCACAGCGGAGGGATGGGCTGTCACCGCCCCCGCTCCCCGCACAGCGCCCGCGGGAGCGCTCTGGGGTCGGATCACACCCTGCCGGGCCGCAGGAGGCGAGAACGTCCCCCGAGGGAGAGCCGGGCGGGCCGTACCTGGAGCCGGAGGTGCTGCCGGAGGTGCTGCCGCTCCCCGGGCCCGCGGCGAAAAGGAGGTGGTGGCCCCGGGCCTCTGTCACTTCTCCTCGCCCCGCGCCTGACGTCACCGCCGCTGCGCCCGCCGATTGGCTGCTGCGGATGATTGACAGCCACGGCCCCCGTGTCCGGCCCCGCCCCCTCGGCCCTTGATGGTGGGGGCTCTCCCCGCCCCTCAGAGCGGGGGCTCTGCTCCCCTGTTCCCGGGGACTGTCCAAAACACACTCGCCACTGTGGAGAAAATTAACTCTACCTCAGCCAAAACCAGCACAGGAACAGTCCTTGTGGCCATAGGACCGGATCCCCCCTCACACCCGGACGGGGTGAAGCCCCCCAGGCCCTGCCCGAGCGCCCTCGGGTCGCTGTCACACCAGCCCTTGGCCCCGTCGGGAAAGGTGCTGCAGGACAAGGCGAGCACTGAATAAAAACTGAGAGGGACTAGGAAATGGGAACTATGTGGGATGGTGGTGGTAACTCTGCTGGCAGCTGCAAGTTGCTCTCTTGGGATCAGAGAATCGTAGAATGATGGAGTTGAAAGGGACCTTCAAATCATCCAGTTCCACCCTCTGCCATGGGCAGGGACACCTTCCACTAGCCCAGGTTGCTCCAAGCCCCGTCCCACCTGGCCTTGGACACTTCCAGGGATGGGGCAGCCACAGTTTCTTTGGGCAACCTGTGCCAGGGCCTCAGTACTTTCATAGGAAATAACTTCTTCCTAAACAAAACCTACTCTCTTCCAATTTGAAGCCATTCCCCCTTGTCCTATCACTTACATGCTCTTGTAAACAGTCTTGCCCCATCTTTCCTATAAGTTCCATCCAGGAACTGGAAGGATGCCATGAGAAGTGCTCTGTGAGGATTGCAGAAGCCCAACCCTGACCTTCCTCTTCAGAAAAGCTTTGCATGAGTTTTTCACCATCTTTTTATGTATGGCTAACATAAAATAATTCAAAAAATAACAGTCAGGGACTCACTAAGTTTGCTAATTAATTCCTCACGGAGCTCCTCTGCCAGGTGTTTTTTGACATATACGCAGGATGCACCAACCTCCTCCCCAGTCCACCACGGTTCATCCAGCACACCCGTGGCCTGCCAAGGACAGGCTGCCATTCTCCACATGGAATGGCACTGATGGAGCCCCAGACTTCACACACTGATGCCTTGGGTGGGAAGGAAGGAGGGAGAGAGGTGTGGGGGGAGTGAGGTCCAGGAGCTTTGAGCTCAGACCAGCAGGTGAGCAGGGACAGGCTGGAATGAGCCAGCGCAACCCTGACCTTTCCCCAGGCTAAATTACACTTGGAGAGTGTTTTGTAACTGGAAGATCTGAACATTGAAAGGCAACTTTCAATGAGGTGTGTTTGATAAATATATGCTGGTTTTTTGAAAAAGAATCATAGATAGGTTTGGGTAGGAAATGACCTTAAAGCTCATCTTGTTCCACCCCCTGCCATGGGCAAGGACACCTTCCTGTGTCCCAGGTTGTTCCAAACCCCATCCAACCTGGCCTTGGACACTTCCAGGGATAGGGCAGCCACAGCTTCTCTGGGCAACCTGTGCCAGGGCCTCACCACCCTCACAAGTAAAGAAATTGCTCCCAATATCTGATCTAAACATACACCCTTTCAGTTTGAAGGTGTTCCCCCTTGTCCTGTCCCTCCAGGCCCTTGTCCAAAGTCCCTCTCCAGATCTTTTGTAACCCATTTAGGTTGGAACCTGGAAGGGGTTCTAAGTTCTCTCCGTAGCCTTCTCTTCTCCAGGCTGAACAATTCCGATTCTCTCAACCTCTTCTCATAGCAGAGGTGTTCCATCCTCATAATCATCTTTGTAGCCTCCTCTGGACTCACTCCAACAGGTCCATGTCCTTCCTGTGCTGAGGACCCCAGAGCTAGACACAGTGTTCTAGGTGGGGTCTCACAAGAGCAAAGTACAGAAGAACAACAAGATTATTTAACTTTTTCTCTTACCCACCCCAACAGGAAAGAAAAAAACCCCAAACCAAAACAAAACAAAAAAAAACCCACCAAGCAAAAAAAACCCCTCAGTTTTAGCAGTAATGAATTCTGGGTGCCTCTCGCTCTTTGTTCATAGATTGTCCTAACAAATTTATCCGTGCTGGAAAAGAGTTTATTTCTTCCACAAAGAAAACAATATCCTAGTTGACACACGAAATTTGCATATCTTGCCTGCACTAAACAAGCCCTCATTTGAAAATATTCCTGAATCTTGTCATATCTTCTAACCAAATTGCCCAAACCTTGGATGTCAGGGAGCAGCACTTCTTATGCCTTGGGAGAATAATGCCCTCGGAAAAAAAATTCCCCGATGTGCAGTCAGCTGATCCCTGCTCCGGCTGATCCCCGGCTCGGCGGCGCTTCTCGTGCCGACCCAGACACGACCACGGTGCTCGGTGCCCGCTCCGTGCGGGGGCTCGTCGGTAGCTCCCCCCTCCTCGGGGAATGACCCGTCCCCAGGAGGAAGGGAGGGAGGGAGCACAGACCTTGCAGGGCTCTTGCCTGGCCACCCCAATTCTGTCCCATCCACCTGAGGCTGGGCAGGTGAGGCCAAGGCTCCCTTTCCTCCTGGGGAATCGTTGTCCGAGCACATGGATGCTCGTTCTGGGCAGGACCTGCAAACAACCTGGAAAAGGCAAAAGGAAAATGGTGTCTTCTGTTAGAAAAGGAGTGTCTGTGAACACAAATTTTGGACTAGTGATGCATCCATTAAAGGAGGGGAAGAGTTTAGAGAAACTGAGGAATACCTTTATTACACATAATAATCAAAACCAATAATTGCTGAAATGGACTTTACTGAGCTGCAACACCAGGATGGTCACAGGAGGCAAAGGCGAGAGGAGCATCAAAGCACCACCTGGGCATTTGTTTGAATAGGGTAGATACCTAAAAGACTCCACTTGACAGTACCCAAAATATGGAAAAGAGAACACAAGAAGTGTTCACATATTACAGTAATTTGCCCTGCAGAACTGATGAAAACTCTGACCTACTTGAGGAAAGAGGGTTATTATATCCATTCTGCTTATACAGAAAATACAATTTGACATGTGAGTAAACCATAAAGTTATAAGAAGAAACAAGTTAAGTCATGCCAGTTGTTAGGAGTAATTCTGCAGCTCTGTCTCTGGCAGAAACGCTCATTGAAGTCCTCGGGAATTAGGCATGTGAAGAGACTGAGGAATTGCATCCCAGTTACTGTGGTTATTTAGAGGCAGGGCCTATACAAGGGAATTACAGCCTTGGCCTCGTATCTCTGTTCGGCTGCACAAGCTCAGTGGGTGCCAGGGATTCACGTGCTGCCCTGGATGCTGCTGAAGCTCCAGTGCCATGGCAGGGTTGCAGAACCCTCACTCAAGTTTAATGCTGCCTTAGGAATGCTGCAGGAAGTGTCCAGAGTGCCTCAGGTGATGTTCAGCCCCGGGGCACCAGTGTTCAATTCTTCAATGGCATGGGAGAGTCCTTCACCTCACAGTGAGACCCAGACCAGTCAGCAGGCTGGAGGTGGAGTTTTGCCAAGTCAGGAAGCTCAAGGTGCAGGTTCAGAATTAGCTAAAACCAATACACATCAACAGTGCTGGCAGGAGGACAGTCCCACCCCTCTTCCCATCCGTAGCAAAGCCACAAGGGTAGTAGACTTCACCCTTTATCCTGTTGGTGAAACTGTGCTGCCACTCAGCAGAAAATTTTAAAAATGCTTTTCTGAGCTAAAGGCAGATTTGAAGGCAAACCTCACAGTCAGTATATTTTACTGGGGAACTCAGCCTTCAGTCCTAGTCTGATGATGAAGGATATAAAGCTATTGGGAAGTGTCCAAAGGATTCTACGAAGATGGTGAAGGGTCTGGAGGAGAAGCCATCTGAGGAATGGCTGAGGTCACTTGGATTGTTCAGCCTGGAGAAGAGGAGACTGAGGGGAGAGCTCATATCACCTACAGCTTCCTCATGAAGGGAAGAGGAATGGCAGACACTGATCTCTTCTCTGTGAAGACCAGTGACAGGATCTCAGGGAATGGCTGGAGCTGTGTCAGAGGAGGTTTAGGTTGGACATTAGGAAAAGGTTCTTCCCCCAGAGGGTGGCTGGGCACTGAACAGGCTCCTCAGGGCAGTGGTCACAGCACCAAGGCTGACAGAGCTTAAGGAGCATTTGGACAACTCTTTCAGGGGCATGATGGGATTCCTGGGGCTGCCCTGTGCTGGGCGAGGAGCTGGACTTCAGTGATCCTTGTGCGTCCCTTCCAACTCAGGATATTCTATGATTCTGTAATTCTGTGACAGCTGGTCCTTCATACTGAACAGCCTTCTGAGAAGAGTGTGATGTTGTCACATACTCTACAGGCCAGCCTTGCAGGTGTTTGTGTCACCTGAGCAAGGACTGATGAGATACTATCACACAGGGAGGGGACCCTCACAACACGTGTGAACGTGGGGACATGAGCCATGTGACATTCCTTGGTTTGCCCACTGTTAGAAAATGTCTGGTGTTTTACCAATCCTACACGGGGGGAAGGCTTTTCTGTGGCAGGTTTTCCTCTTTGAAAATATGTGTCTGGAAAAGACCCAAGAAGAAGATGAAGGTGATAAGACTACAATGGGTAGATGGGTGATTTCAAGAATTTTCTACTTGTGCACTTTCATTTTCATAAATGGGAGTCGAATTCATGCAGATTTTTCATAGTGCCTTATGTAGAAAAATGGCTTTCCGTGGCCCATGGTTGTGTTATTCTGGTTATTCATTGACAGCACAATTCTACAATAAGACATTTCTTGCAGGACGAGTAACTTTAGCCTTTCCTGCGTCACAGCTGGAATATTTCACAGCACAGCGTGTCAGAGCAGTGGAGCAAAAAATCTTAATGTACGCAAAGCAGATCTGCCTCCAGTTCAGTTAGAGATTTCTTTTTTAGCTCATATCCTTCAAGATAGTTTGGCAAAGCATAGCACAACCCCCTCAAAATAATGCTGTTTTATATGATGGGTGTTAGTTAACCCAGCTTAAAGTACCACGGACAACCCTTATAGCTGATGTTTCTATTGCAGTATAAACCTTGAGCTGTAGT